TATATATATATATATATATATATATATTATATATATATAATATATATATAGATATTACTGCCCATCTTTCAAGGTGGCACGTGTCTCAATTAGTAGACCTGCTGCCTCTCAACGAGAAAGTTGCTGGTTCAAATCCCGGCCCAGGACCTTTCTGGGTGGAGTTTCAATGTTCTCTCTGTGCATGCGTGGGTTTTCTACGGGTACTCCGGTTTCCTCCCACAGACCAAAAACATGCATGTTAGTCTAATTGGTAACTCTAAATTGTCTCTAGGTGTGAGTGAGAGTGAATGGTTGTTTGTCTCATTGGTCCATGTGTCCCTGTGATGGACTGAAGACCTGTCCAGGCTGTCCCCCGCCTCTCGCAGTGACAGCTGGACATGGGCGCCAGTGACCCCCTTGACTCAAAAAAGGAAGCAGCAGGTAGAGATAATGGATGGATGCCCATCTTTCATCTTTTGGCAGTGGACAGTAATAAAATTTTGCTGTGAATTCTGGGACATGTACCTGCTCAATCAGAGCCGTCCTGGCCTCGCCCACTGCCTGCAGGAGGTCAGGATCATCAGACTGGCTGAGAGCCTCTGACTCAAACACTCGTCCATCATCTCTAGTGGATCTCAGCTTCCACACAAGCTTCTGATTGGTTAACAAATCAACCACACCTGTGAAGTTCTTACCGCTGCCAACAGGAATCTATGGAGAGTGATTGTGAAATAATTAAACAACAGTCAACAGAAGACAACTGGCCTGTCCAACAAAACCTCAAATGTTCAAATCTGCTTTTGTTAATACAGATGAGTTATAATGTTCAGAAATAACTTTTTGATATAAAAATATCTCCATGAACAAATCTTCAATATAAAACTACATTTGAACCCTTGAACAAAACATCTTTCCCTGGAGAACATTATAACGTAAGGTGAGTCATTCATCTGATCTTAAAAGGCCTACCTGCAGGAGGATTGGACTGGCTTTCAGTTTCTGTCTTATGCTTTCAATGGAGAAATTTAGGCTGTGGAAAAGAATTGATTTTAAAAAAGTATTCATGTAATGTCAAGTTTTTCACATTTTGTCACGTTTCAACCAGAATTTTCAAAGTATTTTGCAGGGACTTGCAATAAACCAACACAAATTTATGACATGGAATGGAAATGATACATGATGGTTAAACAAGTTTTTTAGTGTAAGTATCTGAAAAGTGTGACGCGCCGCTGTATTCAGCCCCTCTGAGTGTCAATACTTTCTACTTGCTGCGATTACAGCTGCAAACCTGTTGGGGTTTGACCAACAGCTTTGCACAACTAGAGACTGAAACTTTGTCCATTCTGTTTTGCAAAACAGTTCAAGCCCAGTAGGACTGAATGGACAGCGTCTGTGAACGACAGTTTTCAAGTCCTGCTACAGATTCCTGGTTGGATTTAGGTCTGAACATTGACTGGGGCATTCGAACACATCACTACGCTTTAATCTAAATCATTCCATTGCACATCTGGCTGGATGTTTAGGATTCTGTCCTGATGGCAGGAGAACCTCTCAGGCTCAAGTCTTTTGCAGCTTCTAACAGGTTTTTTCCAAGAATCATGCTCCATTCAACTTCCTACCAATTTTACCAGCTCTCCATTTCTGCTGGAAAAATAATCCCCAGTTGTTTCTATTTGCAGATGGTGGATTAAACAGAGCTCTATAATGTTTTTAAAGCTTGGGGTATTGTTTTATAACCTAACCCTGCTTTAAACTTCTCAGCAACTTTATCCCTGACCCGTCTGGTGTGTTCCTTGGTCTTCATGGTGCAGTGCGATCACTTATGTTCTGTAACAAACCTCAGAGAACAGCTGGATTCATACCGAGATTAAATTACACACAGGCAGGCTCTGTTTTTTCATTAGGCGACTTCTGAAACCAGCTGGTTGTTCTGGATTTTAGTTCAGGGTAGCAGCGTAAAGAGGGTTGAATTCAAATGCATGGCGTACTTTTCATTTTCATTCATTTGTAAAACAATCCATGCATCATTTTCTTTCTACTTCACATAACTGCACTACTTTGTGTATAAAATCCCAGTAAAATACTTTAAAGTTTGTAGTAGTAATGTGACAACATGTAAAAGATTCAAGGTGCGTGAATACTTTTTCAAGGTACTGTAGATCATTAATAAGAGTAAATGAGTTTGTCTGGAGATGATCAGGTGACTCACTCTGCTGCAGGTTTGTCCATCTTATTCAGAAAACACAGACATGGGATGCGGTGCTTCTCCGCCTGCCTCCACACTGTCAGAGTCTGAGCCTATTTTACAGGCAAGAGAAGCAAGGAATGTCACAAAGAAAGAGAAGAGTAAATGAAAAAAGAGAGACTGAAAACTGCTCGTTAACCTCAACACCAGCAGAGGCGTCCAACACAGCAACAGCCCCATCGAGAACTCGGAGCGCCCGCTCCACCTCCAGTGTGAAGTCAACATGTCCTGCAATCACACTTTATCTCAGTGGCTGTATCTTCTTATTCTCACCGGATTATTTTACGTTTTGTTTCACCTGGGGTGTCTATAAGGTTTATCCGATGGCTCTTCCAATCAAACGTAACGGCTGCTGACTGGATGGTGATGCCACGTTCCCTTTCCTGAGCCATAAAATCTGTGACTGTGTCTCCATCGTCCACATCTAACAGCAGCAATGAAAGAAACAAATGTAAATCGCAGGTGGTAATACATTACCACCAGACGTCTGCATGGTTTTGCCCAACACATACCTCCCAGTATTCTTGTGTAACCAGAGTAATAAAGCATTCTCTCTGTGGTGGTTGTTTTTCCTGCATCAATGTGAGCCATGATGCCGATGTTTCGGATCCTGCAGAAACCAGCAAGTTAAATTATTCCTGAATCCCAGAGGAAGAGAAAGAGTTTCTGTAATCTGCTGATTGTAGTTACTTACTTGGAAATATCAGGGTTGACCACAGACCGCACTGATTTGATATCATCTGGAACAGTGAGCATGAAGCTCAGTTATGAATCAGCTAAGTGATAAACTAACCAGAAATTATTCATTTAGTCCTTAAAATGCTAAAATTATACCTTTGCTCCATCATTCAGTGCAGTAGTAACTAAAAGTACTTTAAAACACATACTTCAAGTTTTACTTATTATGCCAGCTCTGCCTAAAATTATAGAAGTAACCTTTGAAGTCAACACTGTCTGTTAGCAAAATTTCTCACGAACCATAGGGTGGATTTTAATAAAATTTTCAGAAAATCCTTATCAGATATATATCTACAAATTGAAATGAACTTTGTTAGAGAAAGGGCTCTTCCCTAAAAGAAATGTAGACCAATTTGTTTTTGACCAATTGTGAGAATAATTAAGGTCTTCTTCTTCATAAGACCAGCTACGTTGTATGGTCTGGAGACAGTGGCATTAATAAACCTGGAAGTGTCAGAAATGAAGATGTTGAGGTTCTCCTTAGGAGTGACAAGGATGGATAAGATTAGGAATGAGATCATCAGAGGTACAATACAGGTTGAACAACTGGGAGATAAAGTTAGAGAGACCAGACTGAGATGATTTGGACATGTCCAGATGAGGGACAGTGGGTATATCGGTTGAAGGATGTTAGAAATGCAGCTGCCAGGAAAAAGACAAAGAGAAACAGCAAAAAGGAGAATGAATGCATGAATAAGTTAGATGGGACACGGAGGTAGTTGGTGTGAGTACAGAGGAAGACGGAGTGAGATGGAGGAAGATGACTCACTGTGGCAACCCTGAAGAGGAAAAAGCTGAAAGATAACTTTAGATAATTTAATAAATGGTAAAAGAACATATCAGTCTACATTTCTATTAGGAAAGACTCCTTTTATAAACAAAAATTATTAAATATGTCTAAAAGCTTTAGCCTCTAAATGATACCACTTCAGTGATCTAAGCTGTCACTTCGATGTTTTTAGGCTTAAAAAAACGTTGTGTGCATTTAAAAAAAAAATCTGATTATAAAAACCATACCTGGGAGAAAGCTATAATGTATCTTTGCTTGACAGCTGCATCTGAGATGTCCAGCAGCTAATAAACTTCTTCCCTGAGAACATAAACGCACATATTTAATAAGAAAACTAGTCCATGGTAGCATACATTAAAATTAAATAATGTCTCACCCAAACCATCCTGGTGAACGTCTGAAAAGCTTTTACAGGCATGTCAGCTTCCTGTTAAATCTCCTTTATGTCCCAATATCTGTGGGAACATTTAACTGAAGAGCTGAACGGAACAATGTTAGCTCATGAGTAATGGAGCGATATAAACCGAAAAAGTTTTTAATTTATGCATTAAAATAAGACAACACTATACCCTTGAGTACAGAATGCTTTTGTACCTTACCGCTCAAAAATACGTCCCCTGAACCCCTTAAAATGTTCATTTAGTTCCGTACACCAAACGAATTTTGTATGTGAGCAAATAAAAAAAATAAATACCACTTAGATAAAATAACTAATAAATAAAATACGTTTATTTCTCAAAACTGTGTGTTCTATACCATATACAAAGGGCCGGAGTCAACATTTTGTTGATTTAAAAACCAACGGAGTGAATACGCCGATGCAACGTCATGACGTACTTCCTCTAAGTGTCGGCTGGGGGAAAACAACATCAGACAACCCCTGCCTGAAGCTAAAAAACATCAAATACTCCGTGTCCTTATCAACTGTAACATTGCGAAACATATTTCTTGTAACGTGTAACTTGTTGAGCACAAGATGGTAAGAAAACAAATGACTTAAATGAAGTTATTTAACTTCTATAGTTAGTTCAGCTCGTTGTGCTAATGTTAGCTGTTGTCCGCATGTGGCGAAGCGACGCGGAGTTTGTTTTCTGTCCAAGTTCAATGATCAGTTTATAAATAGAGTCACTGTTATAATCTCTGGTGTGATTACTCCAATCTGTTTAGTTTTACTGAATCTGGACTCTCGGTTGTAGTCAAACATGCAGTTGACTTGAGATTTCACTGAATTGTTTTAACACTAGTTCATAGTTTATATCACAGATTACATGTAATAACGTTTATATGTTGATACATTTTTGTTTTATTAAAAGTAGTTTTTATGCAAAAACGTAATTTTTACTTTTGAATTTTGCCGTTTTTGTTTTTAATAGTTGCACAATTCTAACATTTGCCAAGATCTTATGTAACAAGTTATTATTTTCATTAATGTAATATACACAAGTATGATTTTAACATTAAAGATAGATCTAAAACAGTCTTGACAATAATGTTTAAACGAATAAACAACATTTGAAAAAGTTAATTTATCTACTCAGAGCTTGCATTCAATTCTACAGTGAGACAAAGCGATTTGTGGCAAAACTCATATTATGTGCATTCAGGTACGTTCTTTAATGATTACATCTGCACTCTGGTTTACAAGAACTGCTGCATCTCTGCCGAAGCAAACACATCTTAAAAGAAGCTAATCTGGCTTTGGGCGTTTGCTCTAATATTGTCAATTGTAGGTTAGCAGGAGTTAACATAAGAAAATTTACTTGACAGAATCTGGTTGTCCATCAAATGTTTTGGTTGTTTGCAACCTTTGCAATAAAAAAAGTAAAAAGAAAAAAATCTCCAGAAAAATGTAATGTAATAAGTATATTGCACTATATTAAAATATATATTATATAAAATATTAAATTAAAAGACTAAAGGACAGTTATTATCCACAAGCTGTCAAATTTCTAAACTCTGATAAATAACACTGAACAACTGGCAATAACCAAGCTGCATGTGTGACAGCTAATATGTTTATTATTTCTTGCTGCTGCACATGTGGCTGTATCATGTATGATACAGTATCTCTATATCTACCATACCATCATAATTCAATCTCAATGTCACTCACTACCTGTGAAATAACCTGTCACACAACATGTGCATGTTAGTTATGTGCAATGCATGTACATTTTGGCTTATATTACTACCTTGAAGTACTTATTCATACGAATTGATCCTGCTTGCACCGTTATATTCTACCATGTTGTTGTTTACTGTCTCTCTTTAGGACGTTGTAAATATTCTAATTACTTTTTTACTTTTTGGTACTTTATTTTTGTACCCTTTTTGCGTGCTTTAGTATTTCTTGTTTGTTTGTTCTTTGTTTTTTTAGCAAGTCAAATCGGTTCTTCTCCTGAGCATTTCATTGTACTGTTCTTGTGTTAATCTTGCATATGACAAATAAATACAACTTGAACTATATACAAAGTTTAATATATAAATGTTCTCAGTCGGCCATCTTGTGGACTGCTTGTAATTTCCAAGCTACTGAGTGGCCTACTCTTTCAGGAGCTGCTGGAGTAGAACTTCCTCATTCGCTTCATCATCAGAATTTGTAAGAGAGGCACTCGCAGCATATTTAAGGCAAAGGTTAAAGCAGAAAAAAATTATTTGGCAGATTTTTTTTTTTCTTTCTACACAATAATGTTAATTGAGAGATCTGTTTGTCTCAGACACAAATAAGTTGTCTCAGACAAACAGAAACTGGCTAGAATCTAGAAAACAAATTATATTTGCCTTTAGCTGCCTTTCTCTTAAGTAAGACGTTAAAACATATTTTCTTTATTAAACACAGAATGTTGTTCAGAATTTGTTTTCTTCAAAACTGAAAAGGGAAATCAGTTTCATTTCAAGTCTGTATTAGTATTGAACTTTGCAGTCAGTTTCACTCCAATGGCCGCTCTGTTTCTTGTTTTATAGCCTCAGAACGAGCACATTGAGTTGCATCGCAAGCGGCACGGGTACCGCCTGGACCACCATGAAAAGAAAAGGAAAAAGGAGAGTCGAGAGGCTCATGAGCGCTCCCACAAAGCCAGGAAGATGATTGGTTTGAAGGCCAAACTTTACCACAAACAGAGATTTGCTGAGAAGATCCAGATGAAGAAGACGTGAGTTTGAAGCAAGAAAAAAGTTGTGATCTTTGCTGCTGTAAATAATGGTCGATACTCATGAACACGTCTGACTTTTTTATAGCATCAAAATGCACGAACAGAGGAAAACCAAGCAGAAGAACGATGACAAAACTCCTAAGGGTGCAGTTCCAGCTTACCTGTTGGACAGAGAGGGACAGTCCCACGCAAAAGTCCTTTCCAACATGATAAAACAGAAAAGGAAAGAGAAAGCTGTAAGTGTTAGCTATCTGTTGTTTGTTTCATGGTGTTGACACAGGAGTGAGAAAACAACACAGGTTTCTAAATGCAAACATGGGGTGCTTTGTGCAGGGGAAATGGGAGGTGCCCCTGCCAAAGGTTCGAGCTCAAGGAGAGACAGAGGTGCTTAAAGTCATCAAGACTGGAAAGAGGCAGAAGAAAGCTTGGAAGAGAATGGTCACAAAAGTGTGCTTTGTTGGAGATGGCTTTACACGCAAACCTCCAAAGTATGAGCGCTTCATCAGACCCATGGTAAGCTGGCACAGTTGTTTATTGTGTTCACACTGAATTGTGTTGTTACTGAATGTAAACAACCTCCTGCTCTTCACTTTGTATTTATTTTCGTAGGGCTTACGTTTTAAAAAGGCTCATGTCACACATCCAGAGCTGAAAGCAACATTCTGCCTTCCCATCCTTGGGGTGAAAAAGAACCCTTCCTCTCCCCTCTACACCTCTCTGGGGGTCATCACAAAGGGAACAGTGATAGAGGTCAATGTCAGCGAGCTGGGCCTTGTAACGCAGGGAGGAAAGGTCATCTGGGGTGAGGTTTTGTTCATTAATTCCATTTTAATTTACATTCATTGCTGTTATTAGTCTAATAACTGCTGTGTTAATGCTTTATACTATAAAAACAATAAATGTAAGTGTAAGTCTGTTGAGATAAATTAAAAAAATGTTTTTCACTTCTCAGGTAAATACGCCCAGGTGACAAATAACCCAGAGAACGATGGCTGTATAAACGCAGTTCTGTTGGTATAAGACTCGACCTGTCTGGTAACTCTTTAATTTTACTTCAGGAGCATCCGTTCTATCCAGATGCATCAAAACTGGATTGTTCTGAAGCTGTGGCAAGATTGTGCAACAAAACGGACACTTTAGTAAAATAAAATTACAGTTTGAAATGAATAAACTCTGAACGACACTATGTTGTTGCCTGACTTTCTTTAAAACACTTTCTCACAGTAGAATATTTAAGGTGTTTACAACAGAAAGTCTTTCAGGTCATCCACTGGCTCCAATGTGTGTTTAATACTGAAAAGTATAATTTTTTTTTTTCAGTCCACCTGAAAGCTGCTCTACATTAATCTGATCCAGGATTTATTTTTTTATCAGTTTAAAGACTCTTTAGACTGAAAATAAATCTAACAAGATTGTTTTTGACAGCAACAGAAATGTGCTTTAATGTACAGTAGCCAGAAGAGTGGATCATGTTGCTGTATTGTAGACATGTTTTGATGGTTTGCTTGATTAAAAAAAAACGGCATTTCTCGTAGAATTTAATAAACATTCATAAGAAAAATGGAGGTGCACCCTCTTTTGGTTCTAGGATTTTATTTACCATTTATAAAATATTTATATGTAATTATGTGCTCTGGTTCTTACCAGGCTTTAACATTAAAATCTAAACTTGTGAACAAAAACAACAAATTCCACCACGTCATGATTTATCGTACAAAACACTGACCAGATTCTTGTAAAGGAAGAAAAAAGTTTTTTTAACCAATTTTTCAATTAAAAAATCTATGAACTATGCAGACAGTTATTCATATGAAGAAATAAAGCATCAAGTTAAAGTATGTTTTACTCCATCCATCCATCATTCTTACCCGCTTCTTCCTTTTGGGTTGCGAGGGTCACTGGTGCCCATGTCCAGCAGTCACTGTGTGAGAGGTGGGGGACACCCTGGACAGGTCTCCAGTCCATCTCAGGGACACACACAGACAACCATTCACTCTCTCACTTAGGGACAATTTAGAGTTACCAGTCTGTCTAACATGCATGGTTTTGGTCTGTGGAAGGAAACTGGAGTACCCGGAGAAAACCCACTCATGCACGGAGAGAACATGCAAACTCCACCCAGAAAGGCCCCGGACCGGGATTTGAACCGGCTCACTGAGAAACAGCAGCTCTGTACTCACTCCACTGTTCACATAGTTTCAAAAGAAATGACAGGAAAAGTGTTTGAACTAGTCCTTTTTCTTGTTTGTATAACTAAATTCAGTTTCATGACAGTTTTGGTCAAAGCTTGAAGGAGCTGCTGCAGGGAGAGACCAAGGAGATGCATGTGGCTCAGGGCTGCTGTTGCAGACCCCTGCTCTAGAACCTCAGACCCCTGGTCTAGAACCTCAGACACCTGGTCTAGAACCTCAGACCCCTGGTCTAGAACCTCTGACCCCTGCTCTAGAACTTCAGCCTGCTTGGGATGTTGTGAGACCTGCAAACCTCAATAAACTGAAATGTTGGACTAAATGTGCCATTTTGGTTTATTTTCATCCCGATATACAAAACTCCAAAGTTGTGGTGGACTTTGTATTTACTGAATTGTAAATGATCACATTTATACCAAAAAAAGTTCAGAAGCTAAAGTAAAGAAGTTGGAGAAACACGTGATGTGAACAGCTGTTCATAAAACCTTTCAGTGTTTTTGGAAGAAAGAATTGTAGCTCCAACATGAACTCATGTTGTTTTATCAGCTCACTTTCTGTTTTTATAGTAAAATAAGAGCCTGAAAAATAGAAATTAAAAAAAGCATTTACTGAAAAGCCGTCATGTGTTGCTTAATCTAACATGTAATGAAGATTATTATATGGAGAAAAACTGTTATTACATTTTTAATGTCTTTAATGTCAAAGGTCACTTTGTAGTTGTGAGCCAGGAGGTTCTTATGATGGTAATTTAAGATTTTTATGTGAAAGTTGTGTTGCTCTTAAATATTTCAGTTTTTCACCTGCACAGCTGGACCTCACCAGGTGACCCATGATGCTTAATGACTGCAAGGTCATGGGGTCACATGTCATGAAGACTATGGCCCCACATTGATCTTATTTTTATTAGGATGACTTCCATTAAAGACATCTTGAGTGGAAGTCAACTGATCATAAAATGGTTTGGACATGCTGGTCATCAAGAGCATGATTTATATTTTTAATTCATTTTCCAGCCATCAGGTCCACTTGTCATTTAAACTGTATAATAACTCTTTTCTGTTCCATGTCACCTGCAGCTGGACTTTAAACCATGTTTTGTAAGATATTTGATCTTTACACAACCTGTTCCTGCTGCTCTGCACAGTAAATTAAAACCAGTAAGTTGCTGGTTTTATCATCTTTCTGCCTTTGATGGTGGGCTGTAATATTTTGCCTGTCTCTGTTGGCAAAATAAATTACTGGACAGACAAATAAAACTCTTAAAATGCACTGCAACTGATTGGAGTCAGTGTAATTCAAGATGGCCGTCACAGCTGACTTCCCTTTGGAAGCACAAATCAAATATTCAGCCCGTTTACAGACAATAATCTAAACTTTAGTGTGGTAGTAGCAGAGAGTCAGCCCCGGCACACACTCTGAGTGCTACGTTTGTTCAGAACCAAAGCTGCTGGTGAAGATTCTGTCATCCAGCTGATGGTCAGTCCAAACACTGAAAAAACTAAAACTGCACATCTTCTTCTGAGGATAATAATAATTTTAAAACTTCTTTTAACAGATAAAACCTGAGACGAGAAGCAAAACATCTTAAGCTTCAGAACAGTCCAGCTGTTTTAATTTATTAAACTGTTTTTGGACTGGGGGGGCACAGAGGATAGAGAAGGTGGGCCTGTGATCAGAAGATCCCTGGCTCGACTCCCCCGACCTACAACATCCAAATGTGGGAGGGAAAGGTGAACACCCCTCCCGGCAGCTCCACGCAGAGGGCCGTGGCTGTGCTCAGGAAGGACATCCGGCATAAAAACATTCACCAGTTGGTCTTCATCAGTTCTCTGTGGTGACCCCTGAAGAAAAAATTACCTGTTGGCTGAAAAATATCTCAAGAATGACCAAAGAACCTTTAATGAAACTTAGTAGTTATTGGATGTATCTCTACAACCTGACTGAAGATGGCCGCCACAGCTAATCCACTTCAGTGAACACATAATTGGCTGTAACTTCGTGCACTTACCAGACTCGACTTCAGAGCAGCAGCACCTGAACGTCACCCCCAAAACTTCTCACATGTGCACGGTGCAAATCATTATTTACAAAATTTGACCAAATGGCTTCAACTTTCATTAACATTTGACTTAAAACTCAAGAAATAAATTAATGACAAGAAAAGCGGAGTGCTATGTAATCCTTAAAGGTCTTGTTTAATTAATGTTGCATCACTGCGTCATGGGTACGCCAGCAAGACACAAGTACACGTTTGTGTCTGTGGTTTCACGTCTGCTCATTACAGGGAGGTGGACAGTTTCAGTCTTCTGTCTGCTGCAGCATTCGTATTTCACATGAAGAATTACAGAAAATGAGTTTTAGTGCTTTTCAACTGAACATATTCAGAGGCTGACATGACAAATATCAGTTTTAACCACTTGAGGATGAATATTCATCACCTCTGTAAAGACTCAATATAAATCAAAACTTGAATTGTGAGAAAATCCTGAATTAAAAAAGTGAACATCTTTGTTTTTAAATCAAATACACTGAACACTAAATATAAAAAATCTGCGCACAATTAGTGATAATGCTGGAAATGAGTAATAAAATGTTCTTGTTGAACATCTTGATCACTTTTGCTCATCAATGATATCAGCAGATAATTTTAAAAGCAAGCAAAAACAAACTTTGCTGAAGAGGATTCCCAGTTTTTGTTTTTAAAAATAGATTTTTTAACTTGAACTCTGTTGAGCTGGAGCTCATGACCCAGATCTGACTACAAACTGTATAAAGTAGATTTCTATGAATCACAATGAAAACGTGAAAGATTTTGCCTCGATTTTCGAAAGTCACAAACGTTTTGTTAAAAGTGAAATAAATGATGTTGAGGAACTCTGTGACCATACGGCGCCCTGACAAGAACTGAGCGACACACGACCTGCAGCTTCTGCACTGTCAGAGTTTGGAAGAACTTCAGATTCATAATGTTAGAGAGGGAACGTAACCTGGGGGAGTGGTGGTGCAGAGGCTACAGAAGGTGGGTGTGATCGAATGGTCGCTGGTTCAACTCCTCGTACCGGCAACATCAAAATGTAGGTGGGACAGGTGAAGCACCCACACCTGCCTCCACCCTCATTTGCCAAACTCTGGGCCCTCAACCCCCACCACCTGCTTCCCCGGGTGCTCTAGACAGCAGCTCTCTGCTCCACACAGAGGGCTGTGGTAGCTCAGTGGTTGTGACAAGAAGGACATCTGGTGTAAAACAATCACCAAGTCTTGGTGCGACTCAGTTCACTGTGGTGACCCCTGAAGAAGAGAGCAGCCGAAAAGGAACCAGGACAAGAGCCAAACTATAAGCAATTGGTGCAAAACTAAATTAAAATACTTTGAAAACGCACATGTTTCCACATAGAGGAGAAAGTAAAATACCAGGTGGTAACAAGAAACGTCAAAGTTTCCACCTAACCCAGAAAAGACAAAGCTACTAAGCTAAGAGTAGCTTTTAGCTACATAGTGCCAAGTTTTATTGTGAAGAAGTTGCTTCCACGTTCGGAAATTGAAAACCACCATTTAAACGACTTTAACTCAGCTATTTTTACACAGAGATGAAATTTGGTGAGGTGATAGCTGAGCACGAAGCCCAGCACAGTACTGTCAAATTAAAAATGTTAAAATGGTAGCAACCTGCCAGTCAAAGTTCCTCCAGGAACTTTCCAGTTTGTTTTATGCTGCATTGTAGAGCAAAACATTTTTCATTTAGCGTTGAGAAATGAGCTCAGGATTTCGTTTGAAGCAAATTACGGATTTATTAATGACGGTTAATACCACGGCCCTCTGAATCAAAGGTTCCCACCACTAATAATTGTATTGTATTGTGTCTAATTGTATTGAACGCTTTTTGAATTCCCACCACTAATAAAAAGCTGGCACACTGTAAAATAAATCCAGTGAAAAGTTGCTAGATGGAAAATTAAGGCATGTACTTTCAGTTCAGCAGTACAAAGAACACAAGAGAAGGACTCTTTGGTTCATTATTCAAATGACTGTCTCTAAGACTGTGGTGAGGTCAACTCTTCAGTTCAGACTCCGTAACTCAGAACACGGATCGTTTTCCAGTCTTTTATTCACCCACTTCATTTAGAGTGAGCACGACTGGAGAAGGCCTCCTGATGTCATCTCAAAGGTCAAACAGTCAGCTTCATGTCCTGTCTTAGTCATTTGACTGCAAGAGTTTCTTTTCTTTTAAAAAGTGCACGTAGTGACTGAACACGGCCTCCGGTGGACGGTGACATTATATGTAGTAGTCCAGCTTGCTCTCTATCGTCTTGCAGCCTTTAACGGAGAACACTCGCTCAGATTTGGGGAAATAGACCAAATCTCTGGCCACCTTGTCTGCCACGTCCATGTCCGGTTCAAGTTCTCTGGCTTTCATCTCAGCCACGACGCACTGGACGATGTGCAGGTACTCCAGAGGCAGGAACGGCACGAAGAAGTCCACCAGGTTCTTGTCAATCAGACTCGTGTGAAAAAAGCCACCTGGAAGAAATGATCCCATAAATTAAAGAAAACTTTGATGAACGATGACACAAACGCTGATGAGCGTGATCCGCTCACTTTTGTTGTTGTTGAACACAGATAGTGAGAGAGACGTTTCGAGGTCTTTCAGCTCCATCTCTTCTCGATTTCGTCCCGCGTTCCAGAAATCTAAAGTTGTCTGCACGATGCTTTCCCCTCCAGCGTTACTGAAAAATATTAAATGGAAACAGACAAGACTCAAGAATCTGCAGCTTTTTCTTTTCTGCAACTTGTTTTTTTTACAGACACTGCAATCACCCTAATTCTGACTTAGATTTGAGTACTGTATTTTCCGCCATACACGTTGCACCGCTCTATAAGTCGCATCAGTCCAAATGTCTAAAGTGAAAAAAATCCATAAATAAGTCACTTCGCCGTATAAGTCACATCTATTTTGAGTCACCGCTGACGCGCCGCGTTTGTTACATGTCCCCGATGTCAACCTGGAAATGTGGGCCGGTGTTGTGCCAGAAATCAATTAGCTGCCAAATGGCGGCTGCGGGAGCGTGCACGGGAGGACTTTAACAAGAATTTAACAAGATTAACACTTAAAAACAATTATTTGTTTTCTCGACATTATAGTAAAGGTGTGTCTCAGTTGAACTTTTCCTTAATAAAAAGGACTTTAATGGGCATGTAAATTATGCAAAAAAACGTGACTTATAGGCTGAAAAACATGGTAGATTTCAAATATTAGGAGGGAAAAATCATTAAAATGTTTAGTTTTACTTTGTAATGTTTCTGACCATTTTGAAGTGGGGTTCAGCATAACTTTTTAAAACAATTAAAGACCTGAAGGAATGCCTACATTGCCACCTTTCAGGAGGACAGAGCTCTGAACGAAGCTCATCTTGCTCTGAGAAACGTCGGACTTGTTGCAGTTTTGGTCAAATATTGAAAATAGTGTTCCGTGTGATCAGGATTAAGTTTTGTGAATGACTTAATTACTGACACTCTAAATTTGAGGCTACTTTATCTGTAAAACTGACTGTGCATTCTACAGCTGCCTATCTGCACTTGCAAATAACCAAACAATTCAAAGTAGTAACTTTGAAGTGCAAAACTGTTGGTGGAGTAAAGCCGTTTAAAGCAGTTGTTGCATGAATTGTTTTCAAATGTTTGAGAGTCTTGAGTTGTTCCTAAACGTGACTGTGTTCAGATCAGCAGTTAACCAGTCAGTCCTGTTAGACAGAAACTCTCTCCAAACTGAGGCTGTGTGTTATCTTACACAGGTAATGAGTGTTCAGAACATTTATGCACAACTTCACTTCAAAATGACATGAATATACTAAAAACTTCCATCTGCATCACCCTGGAGTTGCTTTTTAATGTTCCACATTAAATACATCACTAACTAAAGGTCTAACCTACATTCACTCAGTAAATAATCAAAAACCATCTATAAATAATTACTACTGATTGTTTGGTTTGTTCGAAAAGTAAAACCAGCTGTTGGGGGTTCAACCTACAGTCTACAGTCTCAAACTAACCCTGGATTGTGTTTTACCTGAGGAAGATGAAGATGGACTTCTGATATGAAACTCCATCCAGCTTGTCGTAGTAGTCCAGGTACGGTTTGATCCCGTCAATCAGTCCGGGGTGCATCTTATCCATCTCATCGAAGATGAACATGGAGCGTTCACAGTTGGAGACGTTTCCTTTGATCCACTGCTGTAACTGAGACTGAGGACAAGAGCAACGACTTCAGTTCACTCTGAGGACTGACAGGAACAACACCAACATAATCTGTGGCAGTTGTTACCTTGTAGGTGGCTAACTGACTGGGATGAGGGAAGTGAAGTGTTGATGTGAAGACGTGGACAAAGCTGCTGTGCATTCCTTCTTTGTAAACGTTTTCAGCAATGAGCTTGCTGACAAAGTTCTTCCCGGTGCCAGTCCATCCATGTAGAGACAGAACCAGAGGCTTCTTTGGTTTCTCGTTGCTCATGAATCCATTCACAGCCTTTAAAACAATGCGTGATGCGATGTGCTGTCCAAAAAGCTTCTCATCCAGGTCCATCTTTAGTCCTAAGGGGTTCACACAAGAAGTCAGAGGATTAGTGGCAGAATTTGACCCTACAAATAGAAGAAATGGCCAAATGATCCAAATCAACCATCAGCATCAATTTCATGTCCAGATACAGTGAATTATCTAGAAAACCAAGGTTCTAGTGAGGCGTGGCTACCATGGTGATAACCAGTGTAAATTTTATATCAACAGCCAAACTACTGATGAAGTGACATTCTCACTGAAAGTCACATGACACCATGAATGGGTGTACGGTTTTAAATTTGTTCTGTTTTCAGAGGAGTCTCTTTAAGCTCAAGCTGTTTTTCATGGAGACAGTCAACAGGTGAACATTCCTCCAACAAAATGATCCGAGCAAATTCTATAAAGACTGACAGGTCTGCTCAATCAGGATCTGTCAGCCACTGGTGACTTCAACACTGGGATAACTCATAAGTTTGCTATGCTTGGATATTTATGACGGACTTCTGCCAGCTTTATTCATGTAGCAAAAGCTGCTAAAATATGGTTGAATAAACATTGATCACTCTTGTGTTCCCCCCATCCTTTATGTTTAGCCACTGGAACTTATCCTTAAATATTGTGGGTACAAACAAACTGTGGCGTCATCACGGAGGGGGATAGAGAAGTCTTTACAGTCGAATCAGAGAAGTGGCGCTAGTGAGTTAAATTAACAGGTTAAAGTGTGTTAAAGCCTGACAGAAGAGGAGCAGAAGCATTGTTCAAGTCTTCAATGTTGTTATTCTGCATTTTTCCAGTGAAGCAGTACTTACAACACAAGTACAACTATTCCTATTAGTCAGATTTAACCCCATTTTGGCCACTGAACTTAGCTGAACCAGAAGAACTTCTTCAACAGATCAAATATTCCGTTTTAAATTTTGGTGTTATTTATCTGATAAAAAAAAAAAAAAAAATACAAATTTATTAATTAAAGTGTCTATTTTTTGACTTCTCGTGCATTTGAAAACAGACTCTGCGTGCTCACCTGTTGAGTTGAAGCCGATCCATTTCTTATCGCAACTTTCGTGAAAATATTTGTAGACAGTTCGGCCCAGAGTCGCCAACAAACCGACTCCCACTGTTGTTGTGATCGGATCAAACGCGTTCACCAGCGCCCCGGCTGTCAGTAAAATATGTAAGCTCATATATGTATCTGCCACTTTCATTGTCGGAACCGTTAAATTTCAGACATGAGTCGTTTTCTTGGGAGAAAACAGTTTCAATAGCACAAAAAAGGCGCTAATGCTGCAGAAACTAGCTTCCTGCTCCACAACGAGGAACTTCCGGCTACGTCGTGATCACGTGACACTGGAGTTCCGTTCAAAACACTCGGTAGTTTTTCGTATTTTAAATCAAATTATTTCAACTGTTCAAAGTATTTTTATGTTTTAGTTCCTCAAAGTATGAAGTTTTTCAGTTATTTAAATGCGCGACACTCATGGGCCTCAGGTTTTTTCTGACGTTTATACCTGTTTTGTTGAAAGAAATCCACTCCGGCCGGCAACACTCGTGGAAATAGTAGAAAATGTTTTGGTAGCTGGCTAAAATCCCGGTAAGAGCCGCTGCCATGCTGACCGCTATGGTGGTACTGATGGGTTCTAGCGCCTCCGCCATGACGCAGCAGAGCAGCACACACAGCAGCAGGACGTGGCGCTTCCTCAGCTTCATTCTGTCGCTTCACCAAGCTAGACTGAAATGGAAGAGCAACCTGCTTACTGTTTGCCACTACGAACCACAATGGCTGCGGTTGTTATGGACACATGACGTCAGGGTCCAAAGGTGGTTCTTCTTCTTCTTTGGTTTTTAACGGCAGCTTGCATCCATCAATGTTGCACTACTGCCATCTCTTAGTGTTTATAAATTAATTTCTTTCCTCAAATTATCTTATCGATTCCAGTATTCTTTAAAAAACGAAATATCTTTCTTTTTCCTTCATCACTATTCAGCTGCAAAGCCACATTTTCAAATTTTAGTTCCCTATTACCACCTATTTCCATTCTCAATAATGTTCTTTGACCCACATATTTCCTGCAATTAATAAAAACATGTTCTATTGTTTCTGTGGTATTACACCAATCACATAAACCAGTAAGATATCCTGATGCATGCTCAATAATCCAGGTAGAAAAATCTAAAAATGTTAAATCTGGTCCTCTGGACATTCAAAAAAACTGACGTAGGAAGTCTCTCGGATGAGGGACGAAACGCTTCTACATTTTTTTGTTGATTTGCTTTGTTTTGTTTTTTTGAATGTCCAGAGGACCAGATTTAACTTTTTTAAACCAGTAAGATGTTTCCCCATCTTAAAAAGAGTGCCATTCAAAAAACTATGCCCAGTTCTTATTCTATTTATAATTATCCCCTCCCTCCTATTTATTCCTCTGATTCTTTTAACATCAACTGTATTCTGTATCCTATATAAATGTCTCCCTTTTGTCTCATTATTCCAACTCATTTCCCATAATTTCTTGCTTTCTTTCCAAACTATGCTTTTGCCTTCAGATTTAGATAATTTTATTGACATATCAATATCTTCTTTTTTAACAGCTTCCTTAGCCAACCTATCTGCTCTTTCATTACCTAAAATACCTAAATGAGCAGGAGTCCACATTATTACTCTAGTTTTGTTTGTTCACATAGTCTATGATGAACAAACAGAATCTCATACAAGATGTGTTGATGATTACTTGAACTTCCCTTTTCAATGCTTAATAGTGCTGATAACGAATCACTGCAAACTATAATTTTACTTATTCTACCATCCTCCACCCATTCTAAAGCCAATAATATAACACATAATTCTTCTGCATTTGCAATTAGATGTTCTTTTCGAAAGCTTAATCTTTAATTCAGGAATCACTACTGCTAAACTCCAAAGGTGGTTCTTCTTCTACGGTTTAATTTGAGGTTGAATCACACACAAGCTTGGGAATTCTGGCATTCTTTCTGGGATCCAAATCATTTGACTCAGTTCAGCAACAGGAACCGGACATTTGTGGCCTCAAGCGAGTCTTTACTCACTTGTTCACACACACACACACACACACAGACACAGACAGGTGAAAAGAAGACTAGAACAATTGTCATTCCATATGTTATGGAAGTTTCAGAGAAACTGAAACATTTATTTTCTAAATATGATAAATCAGTAGCTTTCAAATCCCTAAATTACATTACGGCAAAGACTGGATCATCCCAAAGATCCAGTCCCCCAGTAAAAACAGAGTAATTTTGCCTAAGTTGTTCTGTGCCACGAGGACTGTGATCAGTCTTACATCGGGGAAACTAAACAGCCACAGGCCAAAAGGATGGTCCAGTACAGAAGATCAGGTCTCTCTTGTAAATGAGTCCTCGAGGCTTAATGGGATTTACCTGTCTAAATAAAGGTTGAATGAATGAATGAAGGGCAGCACGGTGGCACAACTGGTAGAGCTGCTGCCTCTCAGCGAGCAGGTCCCTGGTTCAAACCCCAGTCCAGGAGCCTTTCTGGGTGGAGTTTGCATGTTCTCTCCGTGCATGCGTAGGTTTTCTCCGGGTACTCCGGTTTCCTCCCACAGACCAAAAACATGCATGTTAGGCTCATTGGTAACTCTAAATTGTCCCTAGGTGTGAATGAGAGAGTGAATGGTTGTTTGTCTCGTTTGTCTCTATGTGGCCCTGTGATGGACTTGCGACCCGTCCAGGGTGTACCCCACCCCTCGCACAGTGATTGCTGGACATGGGCACCAGCGACCCCCGTGACCCAAAATGGAATAAGCGGGTAAAGATAATGGATGGATGGATGGATGAATGAATGAAAAAGATCAACATCATCAGCTAGGACTCTGTGGTCTACACTCATCTCCAGGCCAGCGGTCACTCGTTCAGGGATGAAGATGTTCACAGAGAGAACGATGGTTTGAGAGAGGAGTAAAGGAAGCCATCTTTGTGAAGAGAAGCCGTCCATCATTAAACAGGGGCAGAGGCCTCTGTGTTCAACTGTCTCCCTCTTACAATGCTGTTATTGCTAGTATCACTCAGCCCCCTGTGAATAGCAAGCAGCCACCAGGGCACTAATGATCATTCATTAGGCAGATTATCCTCCTTTTTCATGTGAACAACTAGTTTTTTCTGTCACCAGCAAACTGGTTGATCCACTATGAGAAGGTGCTGCTTATAAAACTGAGTTTGTTGCAGCTACTCAGAAGTTTTTGGGTTCATGCTCAATAATCCAGGTAAAAAAAATCCAACAATGTTCAGTATCTGAATGTTGTTTTTTTTTTTTTTTTGAGAGACGTTTCGTCGTTGATCCAAAGGACTTCATCAATCTGAGGAGCCACATACAAAAAGGGTCCCGCAAGCAGCACACACCCATGGTGGACCAACCAGTTTGCTGGTGATAAGATGGTTCGGGGGGGGGGGGGGTCCTCTCCTTAGAAGTCTTTTAGATAAAAGATGAAACGTTTCATTAAAGAAGAATCTGTCCAGAGGACCTGATTCAACCATGATAGACACACACAGACATGCACACGAGATAATAACAAGCAGATGGTTTTATTATAGCAGGTCAGACGAATTAAAGGTTTATAGAGAAAAGTAATTTGAATAAATTTATCTTTGTAAAATATAACTTTAATTTTTATGCAAATAATATGAGTATGGGATCAATATGCATTCTGTCATTGGACCATTCTGATAAGAATGATAAGAAACATAACTTTATTTTGAAATTATGAAGTTTGAAAAAAACTTTGCTTAAAAAAAAACAAAGCAGCAATAAGTGCAAAAAGAGAATAATTAATTAAATATATTTCAGTCTCTTCAATAAATGCAATCAATTAAGTGCAGATTAAAATCATAAAATTAACCAATGTAGGTAATTAACTTCTCTATTTGTCAGGAAAGCTTGTAAACATCAGACATACAATTATTGTTATTTTCTAGCACGGATTAGCATACACTGATTTTTTGTACATAAAAGAAGATTTAATAATGTCAGTGTTGGATGGAAATCAGAGTCCTCTCGTAAGTAAATCTACTCAATACAAAAATGCACGATGAGTAAAATAAATGGACTTGATGTTCCCTTGCCCGGACGTGGGTCACCGGGGCCCCACTCTGGAGCCAGGCCTGGAGGTGGGGCACGTGGGCAAGTGAATGGTGGCTGGGCTTTTACCCATGGAGCTCGGCTGGGCACAGCCCGAAGAGGAGACGTGGGTCTCCCTTCCCATGGGCTCACCACCTGTGGGAGGGGCCAAAGGGGTCGGGTGCAATGTGGGATGGGTGGTGGCCGAGAGCGGGGACACTGGCGGTCTGATCCTTGGCTACATAAGCTAGCTATTGGGACGTGGAATGTCACCTCACTGGTGGGGAAGGAGCCTGAGCTGGTGTGTGAGGTTGAGAGGTTCCGGCTAGAAATAGTCGGACTCACCTCTACGCATGGCTCTGGCTCTGGAACCAGTTTTCTTGAGAGGGGCTGGACACTCTTCCACTCTGGAGTTGCCCCTGGTGAGAGGCGCTGAGCAAGAGTGGGCATACTTATTGCCCTCCATCTTGGTGCCTGTGTGTTGGGGTTCACCCTGGTGAATAAGAGGGTGGCCTCCCTCCGCCTACATGTGGGGGGACGAGTTCTGACTGTCGTTTGTGCTTATACACCAAACGGCAGTTCAGACTATCCACCCTTTTTGGAGTCCTTGGAGGGGGTACTGGAAAGTGCATCTCCTAGGGACTCCCTTGTTCTGCTGGGGGACTTCAATGCTCACGTGGGCAATGACAGTGAGACCTGGAGGAGTGTGGTTGGGAGGAACGGCCCCCCTGATCTGAACCCGTGTGGTGTTCTGTTGTTGGACTTCTGTGCTCGTCATGGATTGTCATTGACTAACACCATGTTCAAGTATAAGGGTGTCCATATGTGCTCTTGGCACCAGGACACCCTAGGCCGCAGTTCGATGATCGACTTTGTCATCGTCTCATCTGATCTGCGGTCACATGTCTTGGACACTCGGGTGAAGAGAGGGGCGGAGCTGTCCACTGATCACTACCTTGTGGTGAGTTGGCTCCGATGGTTGGGGAGAATGCCGGTCAGACCTGGCAGACCCAAATGTGTTGTGAGGGTTTGCTGGGAATGTCTGGCAGAGTCTCCTGTGAGACTGAGTTTTAACTCCCACGTCCGGGAGAACTTCGAACATGTTCCGGGGGAGGTAGGGGACATTGAGTCCGAGTGGGCCATGTTCCGTGCCTCTATTGTCGAGGTGGCCTACTGGAGCTGCGGCTGCAAGGTTGTCGGTGCCTGTCGTGGCG